TCCAGATACCGCGCTTGGTCGAAAGCAACACAGACAAAATGCGGTAGCCATACTTGCAGCAAAAAAAAGGGTGGTACCCATAACGCAAAAGCCTATGCCACGTCTGGAACATTGCGGCGCACTTCTTCTAAGCCAACTTTTGCAATCGTCAAGAATGGGTTAAAACAAAAGGACGTGTCCATCAATGCATGGAGCGACTCCACGATAGTCATGGCTATCATACTCACCAGCCCTACTTAAGTGGTTTGTTGGGAACCGCACCTCAGAGATACTCAAAAAAATCCCTAAGCATGCATGGCGGCATGTGGACTCAAACCCAGCAAATTGTGCAGCCCGAGGCTTGGAAATATACGAGCTCATTGACATCCAATTTTGGTGGAAGGGTCTTTCATGGCTGAGGAAAAATAATTAATTATTGAAAAATTTAACAATTCTCACAACTGTTCGTCTTTTTCAGACAAACGCATACAAAGCGAAGTGAAAACCAACTGCCTAGCTGCGCAGGTAATTGTCAATACTGACAATCCTTTGGATAAGCTTATCAATCACCAATCATTTTGAAGATGAAGCTTATACACACGCTTGGTTATGTTGTGCGATTCATTCATCGCATGAAACACCTATCTTCGAAATAAATAAAATAAAGGCGGCAAAGATTCGATGGTTGCAAGACGCTCAATCTGCTTTTCAACCAATTTTGCTTACAAAGGCTCATCGAATCACTAACTTGATCATAGAACATGAGCACCGAGTGAACCTGCATCCTGAAGTCTCGTCTCTCTTCGTTATTGTTCGGCAACGATACCGGATATTCTGCGCACCGAATTTGATACGCAAAATCACGCACAATTGCTTGGCGTGCTTTCGACAGAGACAACACATAATACAAAAACGTATGGCATATCTATCACGCAAGCACTTCCATTCGTAAACACTGGATGCGACTATGCAGGACCCATACTTTTAAGGACGCGATGGTCCGTAAGCCCCACATCAGCAAGAGCTACATATGTCTATTCGTATGTATGCATACTCCGGCGATCCATCTAGAACTCACCACCGTCCTATGTACAGAAATATTTCAGGCGGCATTGAGATGATATTTCTCTATACGAGGCAAATGTACACGTATGTACAGCGACAACAGAACGAATTTCATCGGAGCGAAGCGATCCCTCGATGAAATGCAGAAGCTACTGAGCTCAACACAGCTCAAGGATCACGTTGCGAACACTCTGGCAGACGAAGGTATCCAATGGACCCTCACCTTACCACGTGCTCCACATTGGGGAGGAATCAGCAGTGCTTGCGGAGATCAGTGTGTGGTTGTCAATTCACGACCTTTGTGATACAGGTCAGTTACAGATAGCAACTATCTGTCACCAGCCCATTTCATAACCATAATTCATAATTCGGGCGACCATTTACGATGATCCCGGAGGCGGATCTTTGCCACATTCCTGTGGTTTGGGATACTGGCAGAGCCTCATGCAATACTATGCCGAGGTTAAGCGTAAGCTAAACAAATAAAATTGTCATGTCCCACGACATTGAAAGAGCCACGCTACTCAACATAGAGGTGAGGGCAGACGCCCTACACTTGTTTATCTCAGGTCTAAAAAAAACCTGAGGGCAGTTGTATTTCCGGCGCAGCCAAAAGACCTTCCATCGGCCATTGCATTGGCTAGAGAAGCCGAGCATCGAAGGAAGCCAGTTCGCAGCGACGTATGCTAGGGCAATGGAGCAGAAGACACAGAATTCTGAGTTTCGTACAGAAGAATTCTGATTTTCGGTCAGTACCGCACTCCCTATAAACAAGGGGACGAAAAGAATCCCCATTATTTAAAAAAAACAGATAGGAACCAACAAAATTATTTTAGCCGTAAGCAGAACCGTAAACAGAATCGGAATGTAGTACAAGCTCAAAATTCGCAGGGAAAAAAATTCGAAAACACCAAACTCCTCAGATAGGATAACTGACCAAAGACGCAAGCGGCTTAACATTTTAAACAAAACCAAAATGTATCACAACCTCAAAATATGCAGGCAAAAAATTCAAAAAGAGCCAACTTCTCTGATAGGATAACTGATCAAAGGCGTCTGCGACTTAAAAACATCGAGCAGACCGCTAGTGCCAAAGACCAAAAGGATGATAGCGCTGCGGTAGCCGCGCTGAGCGCAAATGAAGACGACAACGACTAGGTCGACTCCCATGACCTTCTGAATTCTTTAGTGAGATACCCCGGCTACCGTTTATCAAACAACGGCTGGCTGGGAGAAATTTAAAAAAAAAAGCTTAAAAATATAATGCCAGTAGCCTCCATGGGTTCAACTAAATAAACAAAAAGTTCCTAATAAGAGTTTTGGGAACAACTTCCCCATTTTTTTTATTAGATTCCGAATCAACATTTGGTGGAATTAAAGGCTTTAACTTGCTAACGCAGGTTGGAGATACCATTAATATGCAAACTAAAAAAATGTTTTTTGGTTCCGTGTCTGAGTACGTCGCAGAGTTTATTAATAAAGAAATAAAAGACCTTCTCAAGTCTAATATTATTACCCCGTCGAGATCACCGTACAACAATTCAACTTGGGTGGTCCATAAAAAAGGGTCAGATAAAACACGTGAAACGAAAAAACCATTACTGATAAATACCTCTTACCAAGTATCGAGTTAATACTGGCAAACCTTGGCAAAGCCAAATACTTTACAACCCTAGACTTAAAATCCAGAGCGGAGCAAGATTGCGAAAAAACCTCATTTTCAGTCAACGGGAAAAAGAATGAATTCTGCCATTTGCCTTTTGGATTACAAAATGCTGGTAGCATTTTTCAAAGAGCAATAGATGACGTCTTAAGAAAGCAAATAGGGAAATCATGTTCCATCTATGTGGACGATGTCATTATCTTAGAGAGACTAGACTAGATGTGTGGGAAATGCGACAGTTTGCCGAAACATTCAAGGCCACCGAGGACATTAATGAAGGGTAACAAACAGTCGGCAGAAATCCCGGAAGATTCTAGGATCACCCTAGTGTTCCTAGATTCCGACTCAGCATACTGCCTTTGTGGGCCGTACCTGGGTCCCATTGGTTTGCGGTATGGTGAGTTATGCTCATTCTGCAATCGCCGTCAACTTATTTGCCTTCGCCCACTGAGCCTAAGGCCAGGGGTATATGAGGGGCAGTCACCCTCTCACCATAAACTGACACAGAAACAAGCAGCATACAGGCGCCACATCATCAGCGGCCATCTGGGAGCAACAGTAATGCCCGGCCGCCAATCCTCAAGTAACCACTTGGACAGCAGCCATCTCAGCAGCCAACCAGCCGCTGCCACCCACAAGCACCCTGCCGGTGCCACACCATCGACTGCTATCCAGCGGCTATCATACTTCCCTGCGGGAGTTACCGACCAGTCGGTAGGTAACGAGCCGCCAGCCAAGCCACCCAGAGCTACCCTGGAATTGGTACGCTGACTGGCAACTTGACAATACATATGGATGCAATTATGTTGCAATCTAAACATCGTCCAAAACTAGGCAACGACCACTTGGGTCGCTGCCCTGCTAACGTTTTCGCTGACTCTGCAACAGGATGCCCCGACCCCCGGAACTGTGACACGAGCAGCACCGGATTTGGATTCTTTATAAACATTCATTTTATTTCATTTTTGTACTTATGTATAAGCATTTATGTATAGCATGTAAGATTTCCTATGTACACTTCGGCAGCGGCGGCTTCTTCGGTCACCGCTGAACAATATAAGTTTTAGTTTGAGAATTTACTTCAAACAGAGAAGATTCGATTCCGCTAAGAATTTTAAAAAGACTTGGAGAATATCTGAAGACCTTCCGACAAATACCAGGAGAACACCCCGAACCAACTCTTGGATTTACCATAACTCGGGCATCCTACCGGCACCACGGCCTCATCCACCCGTTCGAGAGCAGTACCGCCACCGGGCCACCAATTCCTTATTCCCTAACTTTTGCACTATGGGTAAAGTACCACATATGACAACTTTGGACATTTTTTTCAGTATCTATGGGGCAGCCAAACAACCAAAAACAATAAAAAATACACAGTCCACCCAAAATCGCTCTACGCATTTAGGATTCACTACTACCCTATTTAAATCACCACAATAGAGGCTAGATGCAAAAAATAAGGTTCTGAGGAAGTTGCAATTGGCACGGCTGTAGATATTTGTTCTCGGATAATGCAACTGGACAAATAAAAAACATATACTTAAGGTTAACAAAAAATAATTTTTTTTTTTTTTTTTTTTTTTTTTTTTTTTTTTTTTTTTTTTTTTTTTAAAAATTTTTTTTTTTTTTTTTTTTTTTTTTTTTTTTTTTTTTTTTTTTTTTTTTTTTTTTTCCCATTATAATAAAAAAAAAAAAAAATTTATTTATTTTTTTAACACCCCTCTAAATAAGATATAAACAAGTGTTTCCATTGACTACTCTGTAGCAGCAAGATTCTTAAAATATTTCTCTGCTATTACTCTCACTTTGACGAGAGCCGAAAAAAAGCCATAGCAGACAAACGAAAATGGATTTGCTCTGCTCTGCTTGGAGCTTCGACAAGTTGCGGGCTATAGTTTCTGTAATTTAGAAACAAAAAATAAAATTTAAAAACTTCCAATTAAATAAAAATTAAATGTTTATGCTATTCAGTCACATAGTATTAAAAATAGTTTATTAATTAATAATAATTAAATAATTAATCTTCGTCTTCATATAAAGTCGATCGCATTATCTAAGTAGCGGCAAGAATAAACTAACGATGCATAAGAAGCAGAATAGCCAAAACAAAAATACACCTTTATCATACCCATTGTATTTCGAGCAATTAATGTCTCGTATAAAGAAAACTGCGACATTTAAAATTCTTGCTATTTATGGGTTAATATTGTTAATTGACAGATTATCAAACAATAAAACTTTGTTCTAATCCACCGTTTCATTTTCAATACTTATTGCAATCAGTTGTCTAAAGGCAACTTAAAATTTGAAGAATGCGAACGGTCTTAAGGAAATAATTATTTAAGATGTACAGCAGTAACATACAACATTATAAACTGTTAGAAATTGTTAAATATGGGAAATTTGGATCGGTTTACAAGGGATTTGATAATAAAAATAAATCTTTAGCGATTAAAAAAGTTTATCTGGATCAACCAATGGAAAACCTTACTATCATGTGCAATGAAGTTATAACTATTCGTCGGTTTAAACACAGAAATATAATTACTATTCTTCACTGCTTTATCTATAAGCAGTTTGCTTACCTAATGTACCCATTTATGTCTTATGGAAATTGTGAAATGCTGCTTCAAAACGTCTATACATCTGGTAAATGTTGTATACATACATATATATTTGCATTTGTAAAATGCATTTTTAAATTTTCAATTTAAATTTTTTGTGTAAGCGTTTGTGGTTATTAATGAAGCAAGTAAGCAAGTTGTTTGTTTATCTGTGAATAATTTTAAGGTGGGCCGCCTAGAAATATCTGATAGTCGTAGAGTATAAGAGGAAGCGTTTCCGACCCTATAAAGTAAACACAGTGGCCCGCAGCTTATTTCGTGCAATTACCTAAAATAAGTTTGAGTCGTTATTCCTGCTAAGCTTAAACAAATAACACAAAAATGTTAACGAAGTAATTTAATAAGAAATACTAACATGTTTATTAAACTAAAACGATTTTCATAATCATAAAAACAAAAGACCTATTAAATAAAAACAAAATTTTCAACCTTTTTGGATGGCGGAGATTATTTCGTGCAGCAGATTCTACTTAACTTATTATTTGTAATTTAACTGCTAATATTTTGTATGCCATACTTTCTGCTTCAAAACAGTTTTGAGACGATTTGTCATGGAAGAAACTAACTTTTTAGTGGGTTCCACGTGAATTTTTGACCAATTTTTCCATAGGAACAGTATTCCGATCGCTTTTGTTCGAAACCTTCCTCTTTCTTGCAGCGTTGTCCATCCCAATTAAATTTTGGAGACTGTACTGGCGTTATAACGTCATAAGGGCAGTACAGATAAGCCAGGACTTCACATTTCCTGTTAAAATAAAAATCGATTAGAAAATTGAGGAAAACTGCGTTCTAACGGCTCCAAAAGTAGCTGAAGAGGTCGAGGACGAAATGGGAATGAAGTGGCACCGTACCAAACCCCAACTTTTTTACAATTACAATCATTTTGGTAAAATGGTATGTTTATATAAGGGTTTTAGTTTTTTGTTATGTACATGATTTGTTTTGTGTATCTGTTCTGTATTTGCCTACCAAGTTTTGAAATACTCTTATAATATCATTTGGATTGTTGTTGTTGTTAATTGCTCTTAAGGTGGAGTGGGGGTCGGGCCATATCGCGATTTTTTTCGACTGGTGGCTTTCTGCAATTTGCGTCGTTAAATTGGAAGAACATTCGTTTTTGTGAATGCACGGCGATATAACACCACAACAATTTTTCGTTTTCCTTTTTTCTCTTCTGGTAGAGAGGGGCATATTTTCTTTTTTTTTTTGCTTGTTATTTCAATAAGTGAACTATTAGAATATTAAATAGGGAGGGGATTTTTCGCTGCCGTTACTCAATAATGGAGCTTACAATGCCCTTCTTCCTTCTCACCAATCGACGCACTGACGTTACCTTATGCAAGTTCTACTACGGTGCCATCGGTAACTACCGTTTCTACAATTAAACCATTCACACCATGTCTACGTCGTCGTCGACCCTCCACCCAATTCTCTCATTCCAAGATTGCCTTGGCTCTGCAGTTTCACAAAAACTCAACCACTTTTACATTACAATTATTAAAAAGGAAACGTCCAAGAAACAAAACTGCAGGCCAAGAAGAAGAAAATTTTAGCTCTGCTAAGAAATTCCTAGATAGTACGTCTGTAAGCTACTACACCTATCAGCTTAAAAGTAGCAAAGGGCTTCAAAAAGTTATACAAGAAATAAAGCCATGCTTTTCGGTAGCTGACATTGCGAAAGGTCTTCAGCAGGGGTGCTCAAAATCGTCTTATGGCAGACCATTTACTGAAGTGGCGTTTTTGTGTTGGTTTGAAGCTATGTACTGAGAGAGAAAAAAGGGGAAACGCTATAGTCGAGTGCCGCGACTATAATATACCAATTATTTTTTTACACAATTTAAAAATATCAATTTCGCTAGTGGAAATTTCCAAAGCGCCACCTAATGTCGGAGAAAGCATGTTGTGTAACTGATAGTAACGTCACTACTCATGTGAGGCCTTATAACCTAAATTTCTTCATAAATAGCGAAATAATTTTCCGATTTGCAAAATCTTTGGTAGATCGATTGACACAAATATCGTGTACGCGTGTGAAAGCTATATATTATATTATTAAATATCTTTCTAATAATTCTAAGCGCCTGTTACAGAATTTAGTGTTAAGGGCCCTAAACCCAATTAGCATCGTGTGTACGGTATTCGCTTATACCTGCAAAACAGTCAGCAACGGCTGCTGTACATTTCGAAAACTTCTCAACGCCGAGCGTTTCATAACTTCGGTTGCTAAACATAGGTTTTTGCTAAATGGATTAGTATCGGAATTTTCAAAGTGTCAGGAGAAGAGCTAGAAGTAATTTTATAAAGATCATTGTAGTTTGAACATAGTACCCGAAATGGTTCATGTTGGGCAAAGTTCGAACTACAATGCTCTAAGGATAGAGGAATATAGTTTCTAGTAATCCTAAGGGGTACATGGATATTCAAGCGGCCTAGAAGGGCCTGGCTATCAATTTCACCCTTAAGAAGATTATGTATAAAGACGACCCCAAGCATCGTCCTACGATTAGCGAGGGATAGCAAATTGATTAGTAAGAGTCTACTTTTATAAGAGGGAAGGTGTATATTTGCATCCCAGTTGAGACCGCGGAGAGCAAATATTAAAAAATTCTTTTGGATGGATTCAGTAAGGCACTGGTGAACCCCATACTGGGGGTCCCAGATACATGATCCATATTCCAGAATCGGACGAACCAAAGAAATAAAAAGTGTTTTGGTAACATAGGGGTCGTTAAATTCCTTTGGCCACCTTTTAATGAAACCAAGAACTCCTCTAGCTTTATTAACCATAGAGGAAATATGGTCGGAAAACTTAAGTTTTGCATCGAGTAGGATGCCAAGATCTTCAACTGCATTAATTCTTTCCAGAGCTACACCATGCAAAGTATAAGTGGCAGCTTTAGGTCTTAGGCGACAGAACGTCATTGCTTTGCACTTAGAGCCATTAAGATTTAATAAGTTTGCAGAGCACCAGCTTTGAAAATTATTAAGGTCAGATTGCAGTTTCACCTGGTAGGAGGCATCAGTATATTGCAGACAGAGATTGACATCATCTGTATACATAAGTACTAGGGAGTCATTAATAACCAAGGGAAGGTCGTTAATGAATAAGGTAAAAAGTAACGGACCAAGGGGGCTCCCCTGAGGGACCCCGGAGGAAGCACAGACTAAACCAGACACTAAATTTTTAAAAAGAACTCGTTGCGTTCTACCTGTGAGGTAACTGCTAATCCATCCCAGGAGATCAGATTCACGGAGTCAAATGCTTTACTGAAGTCAGTGTAAATGACATCCGTCTGAAATTTATTTTGGAAACCAGTGATCACGAAGGATGTTAGTTCCAGAAGATTGGTAGTGGTAGACCGTAATTTCATAAAGCCATGCTGGCGTGGACATATGACAGATCTACACTGGTGCTGCAAGTGAGGCACAAGAATTTTTTCGAAAAGTTTCGGAATTGCTGATAGTTTAGATATACCTCTGTAATTTTCAGCATCCGATTTTTTTCCCTTCTTGTGAAGGGGAATGATAAGGGACTCTTTCCAGATAGCGGGAAACGTGGACGTTTCCAGGGAAAGGTTAAATCATTTTAAAAGGGGTTTGACCAGCAGAGCAGTACCTAAGCACACAGCCCGGTACCCCGTCTGGACCTGGCGAAAAGACTGGCTTCACATTCTGAAGATTCTTTATAACCCCACATTCCGACAAGGTGGGTCGGGAAATAAAGTTAGACCGGGGGATATCGTAAGCGTAAGTCTGCGCGTTTATTAACAAAGGTGAATAGGTAGTTTGAAAAAACTGTGCAAAAAGATCGGCAATTTCCTGATCCGTGCTTGCAGTAGATTTTCCAAACGATAGCAAAGACGGAAAGGTTTTAGATTTACGCTTAGTGGTAACAAAACTATAGAACTGTTTCGGATCCAGGGCAAACTGGTTCTTACATCGAGCTAAATAGTTCTGATAACACTGAGTGTTATGCACGGTAAAGTTAGACCGAGCCACCATATAATGCACGAAACAGTCATTGCTATTAGTTCTTAAGTATTTTTTTTAATAATTTTAATTTGATATTTTTTAGAATAGAAAAGTGCCTTGTATACCAAGGGGGTTTATCCGCCATAGCCGGATACCGCAACGGAACAAAGCGATCAAAAATTAGGTTTAGTGTACTATAAAATATATCTAGAGCAGTCAACATATCGGTGCATGCGTACAAATCGGACCAATCAAATTCTGAAATAAAGTTATTAATTTTTTTAAAGTCTGCTTTACGAAAGCATCGAATTTTCTTATCAGCGTAATTGTTCTTAGGCTTAGTGCATAGCCCCGTATCGATCGTAAGATCTAATGTTGGATGATAAGGATCTTCAGGGAGTGTGAGAGGTGGAGCTCTGTAAATGGATACGGCGTCAGTATCAGAGAGAAAGCACAGATCGAGCAAACGACCTAAAGAATTCCCTATATGATTAATTTGAGCCAGTGACATGTCTAACATGCCAGCAGTAAAGTCGTGATGCGACATAGGTGTTAAAGCTAAGGTGTTATCGTTCATGGACCAAGCCACCTGCGATAGGTTGAAATCACCCAACACCACCAGCTGATCCATGTCCGATAACATTGAGAAGACAGACTGAATGGCTGCTAGGTGCCGCTCATATGTCAAGGAAGCGGACTTAGGCGGAATATAAGAGCAAGTGAGATATAAATTTAACCTAGACAATGAGATTTTAACTGTGATAAATTCTAAGTCTTCAGTTTGAAGATTTATCACCTCGGAAACGAGATTAGAGTCCACTGAAACTAGGACTCCACCACCATTTCCGAGGGATCGGTCAAGCCTATATATTGTGTACCTACTGGGGAAAACTGCAGAATTAAGAATTTCTGGAGTTAGCCAGGTTTCGGTAAACACAATGACCTGGGATGCAAACGAGAAGCTTACCGAGAACAAATTAGAAAGTTTAGAGCGTAAGCCTCTAGTGTTCTGGTACGAAAGAATTATGGATGATGTTAGTTTTTTAGGTTTGC